GCAACATTAGAAAGAGAAATAAGAGTATGCTCTGCTTTAATAATTTGGACTGATTGTGATCGAGAAGGAGAAAATATTGGATCAGAAATAGTTCAAGTAAAATATTTGAGTAAAAGAGTAGATAACAATTAACATACATTTATATATAGTTTTAGTTTTTGCTTAATTATTTCAAATTGCTAATGCAAAACTAATAAAATTATTTTTCAGTTTTAATTTTATATTGTTTGTTATAATGTATTATCAATTATATTTAAATTTTAGGTATGTAAGGCTGTTAAAAATAATATTAAGATATATAGAGCAAAATTTTCTGAAATAACTAGTACGTCCATAAATAGAGCTCTTCAGAATTTAACAGATATTGATCAGAATGTTTCAAATGCAGTAGATGTTCGTCAAGAATTAGATCTTCGAATAGGTAGTAATAATGCAATATACTGATTGATCTTCAAGAATGATGAATATAATAGTAGAAAATTATTGCAGGAGCTGCTTTTACAAGATTTCAGACTATGCAATTACAAAGAAATGTTTCAAGACATGTATCAAATCAGTTAATCAGTTATGGTTCTTGTCAGTTTCCGACATTAGGTTTTGTAGTTAAAAGGTTCAAGGAAAATGGGGATTTTATTCAAGAATTTTTCTGGAAATTAAAAGGTAAACACTTGCATTTATATAGATGCAAGAGCCTTAAATAAGATTTATCAATATTGATCATTGCTTATAAATAAATTAATGTAGGAATTGAAATTATTTGTGCAAAACTATTTTTGCAAGTGTTTATATATATATATATATATATATATATATATATATACTAGCATACCCAGCCTTGCATTGCAACGGCCCTTATTAAAATGCACCTGATTGAAATTTGAATCCATTTGACAACCACATTGAATAACCAAGTGATTTTTATAAATTTGTTATATCTTATTTGGTATTACTATAATATGTAGTATTACTATATTACTAATTTATGATTAGACACTCATCGATTTCAATGCATTTTTCAAAATTTGTGATTACTTACAAAACGCTTATAATATAAATTTCCGACTATAAATTGATATTCATACTATCCCTGAAACTAACATGGATAAAGTTCTGAGGAATTCGAGTCCAAATCTATGTGCCAAAAATCACACTTCAAAATTTAATATAATATGATATAATATTTAGTTTTCAATCATGATTTATATTAATTTTGCAAGTGTGTATATATATATATATATATATATATATATATATATATATTTCATAGTCAAAATGATTACTTTCAGTGATTCACACCATTAAAGATTTGTCTGTGGAATTTAAATGGAAAAGAAATCGCTTATTCGATGAAGCTACTTGCATTGATTTATATAACAATTGCACATCAAATCCTGAAGCAGAAGTACTTAAAACTGATGGGAAGAGAAAAACCAAATGGAGGCCTTTACCAATGGATACTGTAGTAAGTTAATACTAAAAATCATAGTATTTCTGTTGTTTAGAATGTTTTTATTTCATCAAATTTCTTTGACTTGATAATATTTTTTATATTTTTATAAAAATATATATTATTATATTTAAGGAATTTGAAAAATTATCTTCAAAAAAATTGAAGATAAACGCAAAAGAAGCAATGAAAATAGCTGAGAAACTATATACCAGAGGTTTTATTTCATATCCTAGAACTGAGACAAATATTTTTCCCAAAGACTTCAATTTAAGGTATTTGTTATTAGTTATACAATTTTAAATAACATTACTTTTTATTTAATTTTATTTAAAGACATTTATACTTGTTGAATCTGTTTTGAATAGACTAGTATAATAAAGAGTGTACTGAAATTTATTTATGCATTATTCTCGATATGCTGAATAAATGGCATTTTTTATTAATTTTAGTCAATATGTAGAAAATCAGTGTGATGATTCCCGTTGGGGTGAATTTGCAAGGAAAATTTTGAATAATGGTGGGCCTAATCCAAGACAGGGAAAGAAGTCTGACCAAGCCCATCCTCCTATTCATCCAGTTAAAGCTGCATCAGGTAACATTATAAATGAAGTTAATAAAATATCATCAATGTAATCTTCTGCTAATAATCTGTTTCACAATAAATTGCAAACTTGAAAGATTAGCACTTCTAGATTATTCTACAACTGATAATGAGACTATGTCTATAATTTTAGAAGATATATCATTTTCAAATTTGTAATTTATTTTTTTTTGTAGTTATTTAGGTTTTATTTATTACATATTTGCTTTACTTAATTTTATTTAATTGAAAATTGCGTTTTAAGGATTGACAGGAAATGAAAGTCGTGTGTATGAACTTATTGCTCGTCATTTTTTGGCTTGTGTTTCTGCTGATGCTGTTGGCCTTGAGACCAGTTGTGAAATTCAAGTAGATGGAGAGTTTTTTTCAGCTACCGGATTATGTATATTAGAAAAAAATTACTTAGAAGTTTATGTGTATGAAAAGTGGAATTCTACAGAGATACATAATTATGAGGTGAGTTTGGAGAGAAATTATTTGAGAATTGATATTCAGCAAGAATTCAATAAATCAATGCTCTGAAACTTTATTATTTTGAATTTTAAGGTAGGACAAAAGTTTACACCAACGAGTATTCATTTAGATCCTGGAGTTACCATACCTCCGCCACTATTAACAGAAGCCGAATTAATTGCACTGATGGATAAACATGGCATAGGTACCGATGCCACTCATGCAGAACATATTTCAACTGTGAAAGACAGACTTTATGTTGGAGAAGGAGAGGACAGGAGATTGGTACCCGGTATTCTTGGCATGGGATTAGTGGAAGGGTAATTTTGTTATTATCATGATATATATTTAGATATATATATATATATATATATATATATATATATATAGCTATGTATTGTGTATCTTTATATTTTAGTTACCAAAAGGCAGGTTTGGAAATGGCAAGACCGGATCGCCGCGCTGCTTTGGAGGCAGATTTAAAATTGATATGTGAAGGTCGCAAAGATCCCAATGAAGTGCTTCGTCTACAGGTAGTTAAGTTATTTTACAACAAGTACGATTACAAAATAGAATATATTTATTACTTATTTTCTTTCAATTATATGTGAATTTTTCTTATGCAGGTTGCTATTTACAAAGAAGCTTTCATTAAAATTGTTCAAAACTATAATGATTTAGAAAGAGCAGTTGTGGATCGATTTGAAGATCGCGGTTTAACTAGACGTGAACCTAAAGTTCCATATAGGCCTGAAGGAGCAGGCCCTCCGGCGAAATTAGAATTTAAACCTTTTCGGAGGGACGATGATGACGGTAAAACATTTTCGTAAATTATATATTACATATCGAGAAATTCATAATTTTTTATTTATCTCAATTTTAAACTAATATATCAAAAATATATTTCAATGGTATTATTTGTTTTTTGATGTACATTGTTTTTTTTTTTGTTTAGATGATAGTGGATTTGGCGGACATGGAGGTGGTGGCGGAGGCGGTAGCGATAACAGGCGTGGTGGTGGGTGTGTATAATTTATTATTTTGTTGTGATAATTTATCACAATTAGGGTCAGAAATTAACATACTTTTGTTTATTTTCTTTTTAGTGGTGGCTTCTCTAATTATTCAGAAACAAGAAATTCAACAAAAAGTAATACTTATTCAAGTTATCAATCTACATCAGGTGCATATTCCTCTGGTTCATCTTCACGAGTTACCAATGATAATAGAGGTAACAATTTGTTAATTAAGTTTTTGAGCATATGAAGTATAATAGTTTGTTCTCAATTATATTATTTGCAGATAATTCCTTTTTCCCAAATAAATCAGATGACAAAACTAGATCACATGGTGGTGAAACTGACTTTAATGTAAATGATGATTTTGATTGTATGATTACAGGTAAAATTATTATTAATTTTCTTGAAATATTATTAATAACTTCTACAAGTATCATACTATTTTTTATATTATTTTCCTGTGTATTACTTTCCTGTTTTTTTTTTCAATTTTTAATTCTAAAATTTAAAATTTACTAGATTTTTTTTTTCAGATATGGATTGGGAGGATAACTTTAATGAAAATGGTATTGTTGACAGCAGCATACAACAGAACGATAATAGCAACTCAAATTACAGCAGCACTAAATTTACTCGTAATTATAAAAGTCTAAGGGCACAAACGGAAAATAAAGACTTTTCAACTAATCAGAAACAAACATATGGAGGGAACAGTTCCGGCTGGCATCAAACTAAACATTCTAATAGAAAGCAAAATGATGAAAAAGAGGTTTTATGCAGTGGCTGCCAAGAACTAGCTAGAAAGTAAGCAAAAAATTTTTACAACCATGATATACTCCTGCATATTTTATTCTGAGGATTGTTGTTTGATATTTTTTAGACAGACTGTAAAAAAAGAGGGTCCAAACAAAGGCAGAAAATTTTATGTATGTCCCAAACCTATGGAACAACAGTGTAAGTTCTTTGAGTGGGAGAAGATGAACCTGAGCATGATAGCAATGAATCAAGTAAGCACTAAAATAAGTAAAAGTATATATAGTTTAAGATATAGAGATATACAAACATATATGCTATGTAAATTTTATTATAGCTAACAACTGGTCAAGTAAACCTTCAAAGTCAAGAAAGACTTCAACAACAGTTTCAAAGAGAAAAACAACTTCTAAGGCAACTGGTACAAAACCCACTTCAAAAAGAAAATGTGGCCAATGTCGACAGGAAGGACACACAATTAAAAATTGTCCAAATATTAGCCATGTATGATATCTCAAATGAAAAATGAGACGGTAATAATTGTTTTAATTTTTTTTAACATGAGTTTTAAGCATTACATTTTAAAATAACACTATATATGTATGAACATATGTATATATATATATATATATATATATATATATATATATATATATATATATATGACCGTTATGTATGACCGTTAACCGTCGAACCGTGCGGACGTGTTTTTTGAAGTGTCGTAATGTCTCTGACACAATTAAATATTCCGGAATCGGATTCCAAAAAAACCTACAACTGCTGTGAAACAAAACCTTCTGCAAGCGTCGGTGTTTGTAAGAACTGTGGCAAAATTTACCATGTGAGTTGTGCAACAAGAAAAGGTCTCAAATTCATTGTTGGAAATTTGATACAGTGCTGTGAGGTGAGCAGTGAAGTGTCGAGTGACAAACATATGGATACTATTAAAAACTTAAAACAAACAATTACTGACAAAAATACCATAATAAACGATAAAATGACAATAATAAAGGATAAGGAATACATAATTCAGAATCTTGAAGAAAAAATTAAGATGCTCCAATTATTAAAGCCAAATGAAAAGACAAAAGAAGTTTCGTCAGCTGTACCCAATATTGATAGTGATACTGAGAAAGCAGCATTCAAGAAGCTTAAACATAAATCTACCAATAAAAACAGTGCCAATGCTAATAAGGTGTCAAAAGAACAGGTGAGTGTTGCAGTAGCAACTGCTTTAAAGGAATTAGACAAGCATAGAAGCGAAACATTCCGAGATGCGGTTGCCAACACGGAGCTGCCTACTAAATCGACCCAAGCTGAACAACAACCAATTAAAGCAAATGACGATGGAAACTGGACTTTGGTCCAGAAAAAGAAGTCGCCGAAACGAAAAAACAAAGCCATAGAAGGAACAAATGTGAGCATTACACTTGCAGGAGTTGTGAGGAAGGCCCACTTGCATGTGTTCCGCCTGGCACCGGAAACATCGACGGAAACTCTAAAAAATTATTTAAATGAGAAAAACTTCAAAAATATTGAATGTGAGAAAATGGCCTCAAAACATCCGAAAACATATGCCTCTTTCAAGGTCTCCGTTGCAGAGAGTGAATTGGAAAGAATAAAATCTCCGGATGTTTGGCCAAAAGGTGTCTGTGTGGACCGTTTTTTATTCCATTTGGGAGAAAAAACGAAGAAAAATTGTTAAGCTGGTTTAATATAAAATGTCCTTGAACATTCAATGTTTATCCAATAAAACGAAGGCATTAACAAAAGTTGTCCATGACAATAAAATAAACATTTTTTGTTTATGTGAACATTGGCTTGGCAACGAGCAAATCGACCTGTATACGTGATTTTCGGTTAGTCAGCTCATTCTGCCGTAGTATACATATGCACGGAGGTGTTGCTATTTACTGTTGGAAAGAGATAAAATGTTGCGTCGAGATTGAATGCAAGCTTCCCAATGAATGGAAATTTAAGAGCAGGAATTATTTCAACGCGACAGTCAAAGAATATATTCTAGATAAACCTATTTATACAATAAATGAATTCTTTAATCTAAGTTAATTGTTAATTGTCATTAGGTTAATCTTGAGTTGTTCATAAATATTATTGATATTACTATAGTTATATTATAATATTGTGATAAAAATAATAATAATAATTGCAATGACGTAAATTGTAATTATTGAATTTAAATAAAGTATCTATCTATCTATATATATGTTGAAAATGTTTAAATTTGATGTTGAAATGTATGATAGATTTCTTGGAGGGCGTAACATCAAGTAAAAAAAGTAAAGTAAAGATTTTTTTCAAGACATCTTTATATTTCCATACGTTTCGACGTAAAATTCTACGTCATCTTACACAAAATTCCTATCCCCCACATCTTATAAAATCCGTCACAAACAATAGACTCACTTTTTTAAAAAACAAAATAACTAACCCCAACCTAAGTTTAATTTCCACAAAAGATAATAATTTTGAAGGTACCATTTGCCTTCCTTACATCAAAGAACTTTATCCGATGTGGAGAAAACTTTTTTACAACGCAAATCTCCGTTTAGTATGCAACAACGATCTAACTCTCAACTCCCTCTTCTCAAATTTAAAGCCGCGCACTAGTTTAGAACGAGTATCCAATGTGGTCTATAAAATATCTTGCAATGACTGTGATTCCACCTATAATATTATATATTGGCGAAACAGGACAGAACAAAAATCAAGGGCAAACAATGATCACAGAACATTTAAAACTAAATAACCATACTTTCAATTTTTATGACGCAAAGGTTCTTCATCACGAATCGAAAGTCTCACAAAGGCGCTTTTCAGAATCGGCCTATATTTTTTTTGAATAGAAATTATTGTTTAAACAAACGTACAGACACTAGCTTCATTTGCGAAAATTACCAATTTGTTCTAAATAATGTTTCCCAATTCATATCGAATACCTAACACCACGGTTGCACAACACTATCACGCACACTTGCTTAGCGCGCCAAGACGTTCGTTCAAAAACCAGCACATGTGTTTGTTTTTTCTAAAATTTTGACCTCACATCTCAAACACTTACAAACATATTATTCTGTTTGGCACTGGCCTCGGATGCAAGTGTATTACGCATAATATTTTATTTATTAATCACTTTTTATCTTTTATTCTTTTTATTAAAAAAAGAAATTACTGACAGTTAGTGCTTGTCTATAATTATTAATTTTTACAAGTTATATTAATATGTGTTAGTGATAATTTAAATAATTCAAGTAAGTAATGTTTTTTGCAATTCTCTTTAGTTAAAACTTTTCTTTTTACTATTGCTTATGTATATTCAAATTGTAACGTTACTTTCTGTTTTTTAAATTGTAGAACCACTGAAGATGACGTAGAATTTTACGTCGAAACGTATGGAAATATAAAGATGTTTTGAAAAAAATCTTTACTTTACTTTTTTTTACTTGATGTTACGCCCTCCAAGAAATCTATCATATATATATATATATCTTATATATAAAAATGGAGCTGTCTTTCAAATGTCCGAATAAAACTCGAAAACGGCTGAATGGATTTGGCCAGTCTCAGTCTTGAAAAATTCGTGCCAATCCAGAGATTGTCCAAAAGGTGAGATAATATTTCAAATCCGCGTAGAAACTTTACATTTTTAATTTGAAAATTTTTGGTAAACAGCACTTGATTCAAAATGGCTTCCCACACAATATTATTCAAGTGACAGATGTATCGAGTATCGCCTACTCATGTGTCAAATAGATGGTTGTCAAGTTGGAACAGATTATGTGTTATTCTTTTAATTTTAAAATTTAATTATTTATATATTTTTAAATGTTAATAAGCATGCTTATTTTGATTTTATATGAGGTTTTTATTTAATTCTCAAGTGTTTGCTCACTGCCTATTTGTATTCTTTTATCAACAGCTTGAAATAATACTATTATTATTGATTGATTAAGGCCTGCTTATGAAAAAATAAATAAATAAATTTGTTTCAAACGCTGTGCTGTGCAAGTACTTATTGGTTTAATGTGAATAATGTGTTACCATAACATTTTCTGAATTATATTATTATTGCATATAGGTTATTCAAATTGAGATCCTAAATTTGGAATTCATCGAAGGGGACACCATAGACAGCGATATGAATAAGAAAATTTGATTATAACACAGATAGTAATTTTAGAAATCATATTCATAAAAATCTCAATTATGTGTACATACAAGTACAAGTTCTTCGGAAACAAAGTTGCTTGAAAATTGCTTATGAAGATCGCATTATGACATGTGACATCAACATAAGTGCAGTTTAATTAGATATGGAAGTAATCATTACAAATATTTACAGTACAATCTATTTACAATACAGATTTTTCATTACAATTGTGAATAATGTGTTGCCAAAACATTATATGAATTATATTATTATTGCATTTAGGTTATTCAAATTGAGATCCTAAATTTGGAATTCATCGAAAGTCCCCCATAGACATTTCTGTCTAATCACTTATTGCAAGTTATAATAGACAGCGATATGAATAAGAAAATTGGATTATAACACAGATAGTAATTTTAGAAATCATATTCATAAAAATCTCAATTACTTCCCGAGCATACTACATACAAGTCATGGTGATAACAAAGATGCCACTAATTTGGATACACGGTTGCAAAAAAGGAAAATCAAAATAAACACATTGAAATTTATCACAATATGTACTCATGTTGGAAATGTACATACGTTCAATCAAATTCATAAAGAAGAAATGTCCATTTTATATAGCTATATAACAATTCGGGGTAAAACGTTAACATGGCTGTACGGATTGGGCTCAGTCTTAGTTGCATAATTTTATATTCATTAGTATTTATAAAATATTTTCTAGATTATATTATTATTCTATTTAGATTATTTAAATTAAAAACCTAAATTTGGAATCGATCAAAGGGGACATTTTGTCGAATAACTTATTCCCAGATATAACAGACCACTACTCAAATAAGAAGATTCGGTTGATAATAGAACTTTGGGTTGTGAGCACTGTGATTTAGTTCACGAGACCTTAATATAAATTTTAACTATTTAATTGTTTTATAAAATGTAATGTTAATTTTGAGTGAGATTCAACACTTTAAAAACTTACATCTGTGTGGGGCAAAAATGACCAACTGAACATTGACTACGGCTAAAGATTAAAAAAGACTTGGATTGAATTATACCATATTTTTGTAGAAAGTGTATAAAACTTCCAGTTTGATTGTATTAACAAAATATGATCAAACGAATATTGTTATTATGAATTATATAATGTATTATTATACAAGTAGTCATTGTCTGTACCATTCAAACTATACATCTTTACACTCCTAAAATAAAGTATTCTTTTTTTTATTCTTTAGAAGTTGCTTAGAAATACCTAACTTAGCAAAACAACGTTTGCCGGGTCAGCTAGTATATATATATAAATTGTACGTTTGTCAAATTTTACACAAAATAATTTTTTGAATGTTCAATAAATAAACTAACATATACCACAAGTTTAAAAATGTTTGTTTTTTTATTAAGAATTATTTAAAAAGTTGATCGATTCTCAAAATAAAACAATTGAAAAAAGTTATTCATGTACTCTTATTTGAAAACAGCATGCCGCAACCACGTATGTTACATTTTTTTCCGTGCGACAAACACGTATCTCAAAGAATTGAAGAAAAAATAATGATTAATTGTTTGTAATATCATACTTGTCTCAAATAATTGTTACAAGATTGAATATTTTTAAAATTTATAAAAAAATTGTTAACAGCAGTTCAAAAATTCGTTATAAAACGTTTTTTGTCTCTCCTGAAAAGTAGTAGTTTCTGAGATACGAGGTTGCGTCAGAAAAGCATCGATACATATTTCACTTTGAAATACCATTTCAATTTTACTATTAACTATTTTAATTTTATAGAGATGTCAAGAGATTCATGAATGATTATATAATATAATATTGAATCTTAATCTACATACAATAAATTTAATATTTTACATCAAATTTTTTTAACATTTATTTATGTGTTTGTGTTAATAGTCATACTAGTTTGTTATTATTTCTTTATTTAATTATTTTTTATCTGCGGATGACACATTATCTAACTCTAAAAAATACAAAATTTAATTTCATGTGAGACTTTATTATCAGTAAGAATTGATAATTGTTTAATTTTTGTATTTTACTGTGATATTTGTTCTCAACATAATAAAAATATAACTAGTGGTGCATGGCATCGTGTCTTTAAGCAAATTGGTGGAACTTCCCGTTCCGTAATTAAATAGAATCGAGGAATAATAAATGATTTCAAATAGTATTCGTATTTGAATGACAAAATATAAGAATAAATTGGAGAACGACGTTTATATATGTATACATAAAAAGTAAATAAAGTATAAAAGAACATATCTCATATTTATAAGAATTATATAAACTAATTTGCAAATTTAAATTTATTTACTTGAAGTATATAAGAGAGTTTTAGAATTTTAGCTAGCATTAAAATTAAAATCCGAATCATTTTTCATATTGTAATAAATTGAAATAATTGTAAATTAAAAAAAAATGGACAAAAAAAATTTCTGCTTTCCTAAACTAATCGATTCTTTATACTGCAAAATGTTTTTTGAATCATTCGAATCGGAAGCTTTGAAACGACTGGGCCTGTCTCTTCCAGAAACTAATCACCACGTCAACAATACAAATTGAATGTTTTTAAATAATTCAAATCGGATGCTCTGTTTTCTCAATAGGAAACGATTGCTTTTTGAATGTTTAAAATCGGTTGATCCGTGCTCCCGAAAACGTGGACAGAAAATTGTATCCACACACACACACACACACAAACACATACATCCATTTCTTTAAGGTATGTCAATATATTCAAAAACCTCTGAAACGTTAAATATGTAAAAAGGTTTATTAACTATATGTAAATTACAATTTTAGGAAAATTACTATAACTTGCGGTAAGTAAATAATAAATGTATTTATTAACTATCGGTCATTAAGTTTTAATAACAATTAACTTAATTGAATAATAATTTTTATTAGAAAGATTGAACTAAACAACATTGCTGACAGCGAAACTTGTTTATATACGCCACCATGTATTAGATACGTTTCTTTGCAATTTAAAAAAAAGTGTTAAACTTTTCGTCCATATTTAAGCTCATCCTACCGAACCGATTTTAAAAAATCAAAAACTGTTCGAAAGATATTAGTTGGGAATGGTACTGATTAATTTTAGGTGAAAATCTACCGAGCCGTTTTCTTGAAATTAACTGTTGAAAAAAAGTGTTAAATTTTCGTCCTCATTTAAGCTCATCCTACCGAACCGATTTTAAAAAATCAAAAACTGTTCGAAAAATATTAGTTGTGAATGGTACTGATTAATTTAAGGTGAAAATCTACCGAGCCGTTTTCTTGTAATTAACTGTTGAAAAAAAGTGTTAAATTTTCGTCCACATTTAAGCTCATCCTACCGAACCGATTTTAAAAAATCAAAAACTGTTCGAAAGATATTAGTTGGGAATGGTACTGATTAATTTTAGGTGAAAATCTACTGAGCCTAATAAACTGTTGAAAAAAAAATTTAAGCCGATTTTCATGGAACTTTTTTTTGGTCTTAATCATGGTCTTATAGAACTTACTGTAATATTACGGCATTACGACAAGTAGTTTAATTTTAAAAATTCGTCAAACTTTACTAAAATTATTATCGTTTTTTAACTTCCCGAAGGAGAAGTTTATGTTTTCATCAAAAAATCCGATTCGCTAATTTTATGTTTTCTCGACGTTTCAAGCCATTCTGAATCGAATGAGACCAAATTTGGAAAAAGTATGTGTGTGTGTATGTGTGTGTGTGTGTATGTGTGTGTGTGTGTGTGTGTATGTGAACAGATTTTTTGCCGTAAATCGACGTTTTCTCAAAAATGACTGGACCGATTTTAAAAATTTAAAAGCCATTCGATGTATCTCGATGAGGACTATCGTCTCTGAGTTTTGTGCGGCGATCGGCCGGGCCGTTTCGTTGTAAATTGCAGAAAAGTGAAAAATTTTTCGCCCACGTTTTAGCCCGCAATTCTAAATCGATTCTGAAAATTCAAAAACCATTCGATAGATATTGGTTGGGAATCGTGCTGATTAGTTTTCGGTAAAGATCGGCCGAGCCGTTTTCTTGTAATAACGTTTAAAAAAAAAAATCGACGATTTTTATGATTTTTTTTTTGACGGTAGATACCATAGTTTTCTAGGTCATACTAAAATATTACGGCCCTACGACAACTCGTTTAGCTTTAAAAATTCGTCAAAGTTTGCAAAAATTGGTATAGTTTTTTTGACATTTGTCAAAATTAGACTTTTGATCGACGTTTTCTCAAAAGCGCCTGAACCGATTTCAGAAATTTAAAAGCCATTTGATGTATTTCGGTGAGGACTATCGTTTGTCAGTTTTGTGCGACGATCTGCCAAGCCGTTTCTTTGCAATTTAAAAAAAAAGTGTTAAACTTTTCGTCCATATTTAAGCTCATCCTACCGAACCGATTTTAAAAAATCAAAAACTGTTCGAAAGATATTAGTTGTGAATGGTACTGATTAATTTTAGGTGAAAATCTACCGAGCCGTTTTCTTGTAATTAACTGTTGAAAAAAAGTGTTAAATTTTCGTCCACATTTAAGCTCATCCTACCGAACCGATTTTAAAAAATCAAAAACTGTTCGAAAAATATTAGTTGTGAATGGTACTGATTAATTTAAGGTGAAAATCTACCGAGCCGTTTTCTTGTAATTAACTGTTGAAAAAAAGTGTTAAATTTTCGTCCACATTTAAGCTCATCCTACCGAACCGATTTTAAAAAAATGGGAATGGTACTGATTAATTTTAGGTGAAAATCTACTGAGCCTAATGAACTGTTGAAAAAAAAATTCAAGCCGATTTTCATGGAACTTTTTTTTGGTCTTAATCATGGTCTTATAGAACTTACTGTAATATTACGGCATTACGACAAGTAGTTTAATTTTAAAAATTCGTCAAACTTTACTAAAATTATTATCGTTTTTTAAAGTAGGATTGATGAAGTATATTATTTACTATATTATTTTCTTCATAAATAAAATAGAATATCTCATATAAGATCTACACCTGCTCAAACGATTTTTGAAAAAATTTCAGATGGCTGATTCTGCTGTTAGTGTACAGGTGGCTTTAAGAATAAGGCCTTTAGTCAAATCCGAAATTTCTAAAGGATATGTTAAATGCCTCGAAACAGTGCCAAATAAACCTCAAGTTTTAATAAAAAATCTTTCTTTTACTTACAACCATGTATTTCCACCAGAAGTTTCGCAAGGTGAATTTTATGACACTGCTGTTAAGGGTTTAGTTGATGGATTGTTTAAGGGTAATTTATTTCTACTAGAATTTAATTTTGACATAACATAACTTTGGTGTAGGTGAATTTATCTCTCATCTATAATCCCAAATTCTATTTTTATCTTCAGTATCTTTACTTTATTATTTATTATTTTGTTCAATCTAAAAATATATTTTAGGCTACAATGTGACAATATTAGCTTATGGTCAGACTGGCTCCGGAAAAACTCATTCCATGGGCATGGCTTATTCAGTTGGACCAGTCGAGGAGATGGGTGTTATACCAAGAGCAGTAAAAGACATTTTTCAAAAAATTTCAACTCTGACGGAGCAATATAATTTTCAATTACAAGTTAGATCAATATAAACTACTTTCCAAATATTAAAGCAATAAATTTAAAGTGTATTGTTAAGGAGCATATGAGGTTTAAATGAGAATTAAAATTTAAAAGCCATAACCTTTTTACACTGTAATTAGAGTTTATTTGAATACCCATAAATGGTCAGAAATTAAACATGTCAGATTTTCAAAATCTTTGCATTGTGTTTGTACTTCTATATGTTTGGTTGAATATAATTGTTCTGCACTCCTTAGGAGTATATGGATTGCTATTTAATATAATTTGCTTTTAGAAATCATAATAGTTTATGAAATTGTAAACATAATAATAACAGTAAGTCATTTCTTCAGTAAAGTATTTTCTCATGTTCTACAGGTATCATTTATGGAATTATATCAAGAACAATTATTTGATCTTTTATCAAAATCAAATAGAGATCAAAGTATAGTTGATATCAGAGAAGATCAACAAAAAAGAATTGTAATTCCTGGATTAACCGAAATTGAAGTACGTAATGCAAAAGATACATTAGATTGTTTAGTTAGAGGATATCGTCGCAGAGCTGTAGGTGCAACTGCAATGAACAGTCAATCCAGTAGAAGTCATGCAATATTCACTATCCATATACAACAGCGAAAAATCAGCGATAAGTAAGTAATAGTCAGTAAAAGAAAAAAGCTGATGAATGAAAATAATGGTTTTTGAATTGAAAATTATTTTAGTTCACCATGGTTGTCGCTTCGAAACCATACATACAAAGCATTTGTGCGAAAATTATGCGTGTGTAATGTTAGCGTTTTTTTGGATCTTCTGTTGACGTTTTCACAAAAACGATTGAACTGATTTCATAACTTCAAATGCCATTGTATGTAATTTGGTAAGGACTAGCATTGATTATAGCCCAGTCAAATTTTAAGTTTTCAGTTAGGAACAATTCGCATAGAGCTGAAATTTGGTACAGATGTTAAATAGGCCATTACAAATGAAATGTCAAAAGTCCCCAACGATCCGACATCTGCGATTTTTTTTATTCAAGGTCAAAGGTGCAAAAATATAGTTTTTCCCATTTTCCGCCGAAACCATAACTTTTTTTTAAAAATTATGTTAGATAAGTTTATTTATTATAAAGGTATTATATTACCTTAGCTCTTGAGCAACACCCGCCAGCTATGTCATTTTCCTAGTGTGGGAGGGTCACATATACGACTGTTTTTGAAGCGAATAAACCACCTATTGGTGTACGGCATTTAAGACAAATTGCTGGAACTTCCCGTACCAAAAATTCAATTTTTCAAAAAAGATTGATTTTTGTGAATATTAAATTTTTGAGTAAATTGACTTATTTGAATTATATTTAGAAATAATTTGGAATTTTTTAACTTTTTTAACTTTTTTTTCAATGCAATATCGCTCCATACTTATTATTAAAATCTCTATAAAATATCTAATAATGTGATGCGCATATCGATGCTTTTCTGACGCAACCTCGTATCTCAGAAACTACTACTTTTCAGGAGAGACAAAAAACGTTTTATAACGAATTTTTGAACTGCTGTTAACAATTTTTTTATAAATTTTAAAAATATTCAATCTTGTAACAATTATTTGAGACAAGTATGATATTACAAACAATTAATCATTATTTTTTCTTCAATTCTTTGAGATACGTGTTTGTCGCACGGAAAAAAATGTAACATACGTGGTTGCGGCATGCTGTTTTCAAATAAGAGTACATGAATAACTTTTTTCAATTGTTTTATTTTGAGAATCGATCAATTTTTTAAATAATTCTTAATAAAAAAACAAACATTTTTAAACTTGTGGTATATGTTAGTTTATAATTACGACAATATAGTATCTGGCCATAGTTTAGGTATTTCAATACCTAGGATATTTAGCTCTTTCATGGATTTATAATTTACTACTTTGTGATTATCATTTTTATTGTTACTTTTATTCTTTTTAACTTCCCGAAGGAGAAGTTTATGTTTTCATCAAAAAACCCGATTCGCTAATTTTATGTTTTCTCGACGTTTCAAGCCATTCTGAATCGAATGAGACCAAATTTGGAAAAAGTATGTGTGTGTGTGTGTGTGTGTGTATGTGAACAGATTTTTTGCCGTAAATCGACGTTTTCTCGAAAACGGCTGGACCGATTTCAAAAACTTAAAAGCCATTCGATGTATCTCAACGAGAACTATTGTTTGTCAGTTTTGTGCGACGATCGGCCAAGCCGTTTCTTCATAAATGGCAGAAAAGTGAAAAATTTTTCGTCTACCTTTTAGCCCGCAATTCTGAATCGATTTTGAAAATTCAAAAACCGTTCGAAAGATATTGGTTGGGAATCGTGCTGATTAGTTTTTGGTAGAGATCGGCCGGGCCGTTTTCTTGTAATAAAGTTTTTAAAAAAAAAATTTCGACGATTTTTATGATTATTTTTTTGACGATAGATACCATAGTCTTCTAGATCATACTAAAATATTACGGCCCTACGACAACTGGTTCAGCTTTAAAAATTCGTCAAAGTTTGCAAAAATCAGTATGGTCTTTTTGGCATTTGTCAAAATTAGACTTTTGATCGACGTTTTCTCAAAAACGTCTGAACCGATTTTAGAAATTTAAAAGCCATTTGATGTATTTCGGTGAGGACTATCGTTTGTCAGTTTTGTGCAACGATCTGCCAAGCCGTTTCTTTGTAATTTGAAAAAAACTTTTCATCCACATTTAAGCTCATCCTACCGAACGATTTTAAAAAATCAAAAACTGTTCGAAAGATATTAGTTGGGAATGGTACTGATTAATTTTAGGTGAAAATCTACCGAGCCGTTTTCTTGTAATTAACTGTTGAAAAAAAAATTTAAGCCGATTTTCATGGAATTTTTTTTGGCGATATACATCATGGTCTTATAGAACTTACTGTAATATTACGGCCTAACGACAAGTAGTTTAATTTTAAAAATTCGTCAAAGTTTGCTAAAATTATTATCGTTTTTTTTTAAAGTAGGATTAATGAAGTATATTATTTACACTTTTTTTTTTGATTAAGTCGATTATTTACACATTTCGGGAAGTTCATGTAACTTGCCTCAAGGCTAAATACCAAACCAACTAGTTAAATTTAAAATATGAAATTTGAATTTATAGTTTTCCAAATGTTAATTAATCACAATTAGGAATGAAATTTCTAATATATATATCATGTTGCAGTACCTATAGAAAATTATATTTTTTCAATATAAATATTCGGCATAATTTACAAAAATATATATTTTAATTTTACAATCATTTAAAAATAATATATCAGAAATCTTGTATTTAAAACTGACCTACTCATTTGAATCAAAACTATTATATTCTGATTTTTTATTTTTCAAAGAAATGATATAAAATCTTTTTGTACCTTCATATTTTTTCAATAAAGTAGGATTGCAAGAATAAATATTTAATATTTTTTAATATTTAATTTATATACATATTTCACTTTGAAATACCATTTCAATTTTACTATTAACTATTTTAATTTTATAGAGATGTCAAGAGATTCATGAATGATTATATAATATAATATTGAATCTTAATCTACATACAATAAATTTAATATTTTACATCAAATTTTTTTAACATTTATTTATGTGTTTGTGTTAATAGTCATACTAGTTTGTTATTATTTCTTTATTTAATTATTTTTTATCTGCGGATGACACATTATCTAACTCTAAAAAATACAAAATTTAATTTCATGTGAGAATTTATTATCAGTAAGAATTGATAATTGTTTAATTTTTGTAGCTTACTGTGATATTTGTTCTCAACATAATAAAAATATAACTAGTGGTGCATGGCATCGTGTCTTTAAGCAAATTGGTGGAACTTCCCGTTCCGTAATTAAATAGAATCGAGGAATAATAAATGATTTCAAATAGTATTCGTATTTGAATGACAAAATATAAGAATAAATTGGAGAACGACGTTTATATATGTATACATAAAAAGTAAATAAAAGTATAAAAGAACATATCTCATATTTATAAGAATTATATAAACTAATTTGCAAATTTAAATTTATTTACTTGAAGTATATAAGAGAGTTTTAGAATTTTAGCTAGCATTAAAATTAAAATCCGAATCATTTTTCATATTGTAATAAATTGAAATAATTGTAAATTGAAAAAAAAAATGGTCAAAAAAAATTTCTGCTTTCCTAAACTAATCGATTCTTTATACTGCAAAATGTTTTTTGAATCATTCGAATCGGAAGCTTTGAAACGACTGGGCCTGTCTTTTCCAGAAACTAATCACCACGTCATCAATACAAATTGAATGTTTTTAAATAATTCAAATCGGATGCTCTGTTTTCTCAATAGGAAACGATTGCTTTTTGAATGTTTAAAATCGGTTGATCCGTGCTCCCGAAAACGTGGACAGAAAATTGTATCCACACACACACACACAAACACATACATCCATTTCTTTAAGGTATGTCAATATATTCAAAAACCTCTGAAACGTTAAATATGTAAAAAGGTTTATTAACTATATGTAAATTACAATTTTAGGAAAATTACTATAACTTGCGGTAAGTAAATAATAAATGTATTTATTAACTATCGGTCATTAAGTTTTAATAACAATTAACTTAATTGAATAATAATTTTTATTAGAAAGATTGAACTAAACAACATTGCTGACAGCGAAACTTGTTTATATACGCCACCATGTATTAGATACTGAGATACGAGGTTGCGCATGGCACATTTTTTGAATTGAGATACGTGATTGTATTCTTCTCAATAAAAAACGTTCGGTTGATTTTTTTTTACAAAACTTCACAGATCTATGCGTCTATATTTAGTGATTCATTTTCCGATTAAAACTCAAAATCGTCAAAAATCGAGTTACGAGGTTGCGTCAGAAAAAGCATCGATATGTCTAATGATCATTTTTCACCGCCAAATGCCATTTTCTTCACTTTTTTCACATTCCTCAAAATTTAATCAGTTGCTCATTTTGTCAATATAAGTAAAATGTTTTTTTAAATTATTGAAATCGTTTTCTTATCGCTCCATTCTCTTCAAAACTGAATCACTATTTTTGGCACTTTTTGCCTCGTATCTTCGAAACGGCTTTGCCAAAAATTAAACAGCACTTCTCCTTATTTATATGAATCGAATGTTTTTTGAATCATTCAAATTAGATGAAACGTTAATAATTAAGTATACATGAATCAATGATGACAATCCAAATTCATAATTTTTAATAACTGTGTCAATATCTAATGGCAACATATGAGATAGAAGATGAAGTGTCTCCGCCAATTTTATATCATTATATGCTACAGTATGTCATTACTAAAAGACGAATGAATCTGTATAAGATATTTTGATCCAAAATGTCGATAAAAAACGTTAATTCTAATTGCAATCTAGATGTAAGAAACCTAAGCCGAACAACAGCCCTTATACGATAGAATATAACATTACATATTATTATAAAATAACCCACTTTGAATCGTCGAATTATTAAATTTACTTACTTTATTTTACTTGCTCCAAAAATATTATATATTTCTGGAACATGGCTATTGATATTTGAAACATTCCACTCGCAGTTTACATTTTTTAATTGTTTTATCGCTAAAAAATAAAGCAGT